ATAAGGTATCACTCGACCACTCATTCCATTTAAAATTTCGGGGGCCCTTGTCACCCCAGCTAGGGCTTTGCCCCCCAGGTGGTGAAAATGCCAAAAAAATGGTTCCCCCTCAAATCAAAAATCGACGGGTTCGAGGGTTTTTTCTTAAATCTCTTGAGGAGCCCAAAATCACCTCTGTTTCGTTTTCAATTGGCCACCCTGTATATAAAAATCAATGTTCGAGGGGTATCCGGATATGCGCTCCTACACCACTTATCCGATTACGATGAAACTTTGGTAGGGTGTTATGGCCATCCCAAGGAAGGTTTGTGAATAGGTTACGCATCTCGGAAAAAGAAATTAATTTTGAATTAATTATTAATTTAATTGTAAACAAACTCTTTCACATTACATAACAACATAACCCAACTTTTTTTGACAGCATGAAACAACGTTGCCATATTTCATTTATTTAGACTTGCATTCAACCGACGTAACTTTATTATTTTTCAAATTCGAGAACGGCTGGACCAATCTTGAATCAATACCACGTATCTCTATATAAGCTTAATTCGATTGACCCAGATTAGATCGATTTGGGTTCAATTTAAGTGAACTTCTTCTGATCTAGATCATTTTTTTGTTGATGAGGGTGCACTGATCCAGCCTCAATCGAACACAGTGTGGTTCACTTAAATTGAACCAGATCGATCTAATTCGGTCAATCGAACTCGGCTATAGAGGAGGGTGATATAGCCTATTTTTTATCCCGAAAAAAAAAGTTCGGTTGCGCGAAACTGATACACTGGAATGCCTATAAACAGCCCGGGGCGCTCTAGAGCAGCTCTGGAGTGCTTAAAATGCCTCACTGAACTCACTGGCAAGCGACTCTGGTATCGGATAAAAAAAAAAAAAATTAAATAGAAAATCAACAAGAAAATTTGAAAAAAAGCGTATTATCTCAAAATGTATTTTCACGCTGGCAACGCAGCGGGTCATTAGCTAGTAATAAATAAAATTTAATAAATGCATGAATTTATATTTGATGAGGCAATATGCACAAAGGGTTTTATTTAACATTCACATTTCAATTACTTAACTATTTTGGGTTAAAATAAGAATAAAAAATAAAAAACTACAGTAATTTCTAATTCAGGTAAGTAAAGTCCGACAAATACCATTTTAAAGTCACGTGATATTGGTGGCAAAAAACGTATGTCCATTGATTATGTCGTTGATATTACCTACAAAAAGCTACTGGTGGTTAATTACTATTGAATTTTAGGATATGTTCCCACTCGCATTTTACAAACGCGTTTCTGAAGTAGTATTGACCAGTCAGATGGGAATTTTAATACTTGCAATTGTTGCGAAACTCACTTTTGCCGCATCTGCTGTCCGTTGTGATACATTCTGAACTTGAATTGGGTACCCGTTTTCTATTTGCTTCTTTTCGAGTTGGAAAAAGGTTAATATAGTCAAAATTGTTAGCTGTGTTTTTTCGTTGTATCATTTTCGAAAATAACTTTGACAAACTAATTGATGACAGTGACGGATTCTATTTCAGGTAAGAATAATATGAACAATAATTAGACATCAATTTTTTTTTTTAAATTTTACTATCACCGCTGTTTAAGACGTATTCAACAAGGATAGAGAAAAATCACGTGACTTTAAAATGGTATTTGTTGGACTTTACCTATTCAATCATTAATTTATTATGGAATATAAATAAAGGGTTTTATTTAACATTTACATTCCAATTACAAATTATTTTGTGTTAAAATAAATAAATAAAAGAAAAACGACATCAGTTAAATGCGTTCCACTATGAAAATGTTTGCTTTTAAGAGGGTGTCGGGACGATTTATGGGGGCCAGTTACCAGGTTTTCTTTTTATTACTATCTCTGTTTGGTGGCCGTCTATAGTATAGTATGTACCATATAGGTTCACCAAAAAAAAAAAAAAAAAATTCGATAAAATCAATTTGTACCTGAAAGAAATCAAAAGTTGGACTGGCTATATAACGGTTAAATGGTCTAGAAATTCAATAGAAATCCGCAAATATACAAGTCGTAGGACCCAGGGTTAAAAATTGATCAATTTTTGACATTCTAGGTACTTACACAATTTCAATATGCCCATAAAATGATAAGTCAATATTAGAAGTAACTTCATTCCTCGTATCCTTACCTACATCCAAACCCTGCCGATCTGACATTCTCCCTGTGGCCTCCACCCTGATCAGTATGCAATAAGAAGTGGTGCTTCCCCTTCCAATGCCAGCAACTGCCTGACGTACAAACAGTTCCAGCATAGGCCTGCCCCTTTGACCTCCTTCCTTTTACCATGATCAGGCGAATTGAAAACCACGCAACGGAACTCTTTTTGAATGCTGTAAGACCTGAGCGTAGTATGTGGCATAGGCCGCACAGTGATTCAGATTAGACATCTATGAAGGTAGGGGGTGTTCACTTTATACTGGATCACCCTGTACAAAAAGAAGTGATTTCCTCTTTTGCTCTAAAATTCAACGATAATCCCGTGAATCTGATTTTTTTTTCAAATACGGGGCAGATGGTAGTGGTGGCAAAACTGCTTTCAAGCAACCATATGAGTCAGAAGTTTTTGATGACACCAGCATTATGACAACATCCATAGTGCCATTGCGTTTAGTATGCGAAAATAATAATCAGATATTGTTTTGTGGAAAAACCCGAGACTATCATCGACCCGATATTGTCGACCGCTAAGACTTCAGTATGCAAAAGAAACCGAAGAGCTAATGAAAAGTGAATTTTCAATGGTTCAGAAAGAAATCGATGAACTAAATCCTACACAGATTTCAATTGAAAATAAGCAGTTCCTGATCCATTATATTATGTATTGTACCATGGTGGATGGCAAGGTGTGCAATACCCTAATGGAAAGTTCGTGTCAAAAATGTTACATATGTAAGGCTGGACCAAAAGACTTTAATGTATTACAAAATGCAAAGTTTCAAAATTATGATACAGCTGCACTAAATTTTGGATTATCTCCACTTCACGTTTACATCAGAGCATTTGAATGTCTATTGCACATTGCTTATCGCTTAGATTTTGCTACTTGGAGAACTACCAAAGAATCGAAACCCCTAATGAAAGCTAATGGAATTATTGATGATTTTCGAAAAAAAACCGGTCTTCTGGTAGATGTTCCAAAACAAGGATTTGATTCCTCCAATGATGGCAATACTTCCCGCAGATTTTTCCACGATCCTCAGTTGGCAAGCAATATAACGGATATTGATGAAAATTTGATACACAGGTTCGGCGTTTTGTTGCGGGCTTTAAATTCTGATTTTCAGATAGACACAGAACATTTTGAAACGTACGTCTTAGAGACAGCCAAAATGTATGTAGGCCTTTATCCTTGGTATCCAATGCCTCCATCTATCCATAAAATTTTACTTCATTCAACTGCTATCATCAAACATTTCCTATTACCTATTGGACAGTTATCAGAAGATGCTCAGGAGGCTAGACATAAGGAAGTGGAAGCATTCAGAGAGCACAATACTAGAAAATTATGTCGAACAAAAACCATGGAAGATTTGTTCCATGTTCTTCTAGCCACCTCGGACCCCTTTTTAACTAGTCTCAGGATTCTTCCATCCAAAAATAGAGACATGCTAAGTGAAGATGCTCGCTCGCTTTTAAAATGTGAGATAGACTAACAGGATATGTTTGAATAAGTTTTTCTTTTTTTTTGCATACATTGAAAATTAGATCAGCGCGTAACTTTTTAATTTTTAATTTTTTTCATTTTTCTGTTCTTTCACATAGGTAACTTAGTACTTTTGGTGCCTTTCTGAAAATAACATCTTATTTATTTATGAACATTTTATTGGTTTATTAGAATAGGTAGAGTTATTATAATAATTTTTTAATGGTTTTTATATTCAACACAATCAAAATACAAAATTTTTACAATAATTATTATTGCAATCATTTAATTATTCCTCTATATTTTGTCGTGGTGTCCTGTCTTGCGTTCCTTGACTCAGGACTCCTGCTTCTCCTGAATTTGTTATGTCTTCAAGAAAAGTCGCAATTTCTTGGCGCACCTGCTGTCTGTTAGTTGCATTGGTAATTGCATCCAGCCCAAAAATCAGAACCCGCAACGCGTCTGGGCTCAGGCTTTGCAGTGCTGGTCTAAAATGCACGTCGAAAAGGTTCATCATGTGTTCTCTAACACTTTGTCTTTCCATGTTGCTGTAGCTCTTTCAAGCACAATATAATGAATGTAAAGGAAATGAAATCCATTTTTTTTTTTGGTCTTGCCCGTTTCAATGAAATATCTGTAGCTAGTCACAAAAGCCTTTTTTTTAGTGAAATTATAGAAAAAAAAACATGTATTGTATTTACACACAAATTTTCCTTTGCCTTGTAAAATTCCTAAAGATTGTTGCCTTTCTCCCGATGGTTTTGAGATGGTTCTAGTCCTTGAAGTTCACCTTTTTCAAGGAAACATTCCACGATCCGATTCGAAGGACCAAAATGTTAAGTAGCTTGTAATTGAGTTGCCAGTTGAATGAAATTCACATCGATTTTATAACTCAATATATTTTATAGCAACACAAACTAGCACAACAATGCTAGCTAGTACACAAAAACACTAAACCTAATGTAAAAAATAAAATTACTAGGACCAAAACTCAAGTTTAATTATATAATTATACCAAATACCAAAATAGAAAACTGTTTGCGTAAAAAACACGACAAGCCTTCAGGGGAAGCGTACTTGCATATCAAGATATCGGTAGCTACTGCCCACCCAACATCTTGAATTTAAATATTTTAAATACACCTACGGAATCTTACCCCTTTGAATGTATACGCTTTCTCTTGACCACTCGGTTTACCTAGATGCTTGCTATATCACAAACCTCTGATCAACATTCGGTTCATTTCGCGATAATACTGCTCGGACTATCAAAATGTTACCCCCATTCCTTAATCAAATTTTAATTATTTAGAAAAACCTGCAAAACCCAAACCACCTCCTCGCAAAATCCAAATCCTTGGCGATAAAGAGGCAAAAGAAGGTGACCAAACCAACGAAGTTTTTACAGCAGAACGAATACATTCTCTAATTCAATTAATGAAAGACCAACCGGATTTGTTGAGGCTATTTACGTCTGGATCTCAACCATGAATAAATAAACATGATTGGCAATCAACGAAATTTTGTTTAATTTACAACCGCAACTTTTCCAATTAGGAAAGTTTAATATTAGCTGAAGTTGAAACGAAATATTCCATCAAAAGCTAAATAGGTTTACATCATATACACATAACATATGAGGCTTATTTAGGTTTGGCGCAATTTTGCATTGAAATATCTGGAAATTGTAAATACGCCTTGGGACTGTTGCCTTTGAGTGAGTTTGAGGATATTTAGTTCGATAAACTAAAGTAGGCATATTCCATTTGCATGTAATCGTATCACTTTAGTGGCTTATAAATTATATAAAAGGTAATTTATCATTTTCGCTCAATCTATTTATGTAATTGGAATACATACAACGGAAGCCGTTATAGTTACCTTTATTTCCCCATTTCAAGGAAATCCATATACATTTTCATGAATAAAAGAGATTCCAGAATTCTATTAGTATTCTCGACTGTTTCCCATTTTTCCTATCATTATATTCCAGGATTTGCATTTTACACGAATTTATTTCAACACTCGAAAAATCCCCGGATATATATAAGGGAGGCGGCTTTTTTTCAAAAATTGAAGAAAAATGAACACATCATATTCTTTGTTTGCATATTTTACGTACGAAATTTAGTTTGTATAAATATTCCTGCAGCAATGTTAGATTTTTTATTAAAAAAAGTACATTTAAAATAGAAATCTGTTATTGCTCAGTGAGCCTTTTGAATCTAATTTGGAATGCATGATATATGAATTCATTAATGTAGAAATGGATTCTTTGATGAGTGAGCAACTAGTCAAATTGAGTTTGTGTTGATTTTTTTTTTAATTTGAGGCCTACTATTAGACATCTGTTCAAATACCAAAATGCCTATTCGGTCGTAAATTGATAATCCCTAAAATAAACAAACTACATATTTACCCAGCGCAAATAGAGAGTGTAGTAAGGCCGCTTAGCGCTAAATATTTGAGGAAACACTGCAAAAGGCAGCTAATTCGGATTAACTAGGCATAATTTGATTATAACAGCCCAGGATAAGGTCCGGTTCGATATCATCCTTCCGGTAAACAACGTAATTAGGTTGGATATTGTTGGCCATTCCTTCAAAAGTTATGCTTCTATTTTCCGCAACTTTATAATATAAAGGTAGAAACGTGATAACAAACAAAAGCAAGTAATTTACTATTATATCCCTTTGTTCGCTTTTTACTTCGATGGCCAGGGCACGTAAGCCGGACAATACCTCGATTGGTAAAAGTTTTCACATAAAACTTTTGCGGTTGTGCACTATGTTTTCTTTTTTGTTGGTATCAAAAACGTATGTTTACTGGCTCGGGACTTTATCAAGAGCACTTGAAGAAAATTGGAAAGAAAATTACGTCGAATCAATGAAGTCGCTTAAAGCTCAATTAAGTCACAGCCTTCTGGAAATGAGATCCGTTCTAAATATTCATTAAATCAGCGAATGGCCTCATAAATTTTACGTCGATAGAGGATCCTAGCTACCAAGAGAATAGCGTCAATCGACCAAAGGGAAAAAGGATTTGCCATCCGGAAGTAAATAAGGCCATCGGCAAGGGCTATTTGTCGAGTTCCGAACTTTCCGCAATAAGAAAATTAAAATATTCATTATTTCTCACAAGGGACGTTTTTATTTGATGATACATTCAGCCCACGTAATAAGCAAACTTCTGATTACAAACAACTAAATAAAATGGCAATTTTACGCAAAGTTCGCCCCCACGTAATGCTGGCTTATTATTTAAGCCGGGAATTTCTGGTCTGAATGCTAATGAGACCATTAGGCTCTTTGAAAAATTTCAGCTTGCATTCAACTAATTTGCAACCATAATACAGTAAATGTGAAATATTTATTTTACACAAATACCCCAAGTAAATCTACAGCTATTTTAAGACATCGTTTTGACACGTTTGAACAATTTGTCCCTATCTCATGTGCCAAAAATCCTGTTTATGGACATTAGTGTGTAAAACCCTAAGCCTTATTCAATGAGGTGTGAGTCAAAACCATTAAAGTAACAACAAATCGAAAGCAAAACTATTAACAATTCTAAACACAATTAATGAACCCAATTAAGAAACTTTCTCAAGATTACGCTGAGTCTTGAAAATTTATCGGTAAACTTTTGTTATTAATATTTTGGAGCAATTTGCTTTTCTCCCTGCCGGGAGAGTTCCGTGAGGTTTACGTTTTAAAATTCCTTTGGGAAGATAAATCGTTATAAGAAAATAAGGGGTTTTATTGTAAAGTTTCAAATTATTGGTATTGAGACGTGTGATAAAAACCATTCAACATGCAAACAGAATGTATTGTATTTAATTTATGTCTGCCTAAACATAGATTTCACAACACATCGAAGTATGGGCCTTCACACCAACTTTTAATTTCTAGGAAAAAGAATCCAACAGCACAAAGGCATTCTAACAAGCTACTAACCAACTCAAGGACTCAATCCCTTAAGATCTGAAGATGGCACAAGACTGCTTAAAGACAATTCTTCCATATTTGAAAAAAAAAAAAAAAAAGGACCACAATGGAAAAAAAAAACAGCGAACTTCACAATTTCGGGGGTACGGCCAGAGAACTCCCTACTTCAAATCTAAACGGTCCCTGCTCGGGCGCCAAATTTGTAAGGCCTTCTGGCTTTCCGCTGGATAGCTCTTCAGGTTTCGACGGAAATTGCTCTAGCGCCACCCTTTGAGTTATTTGAAAGCGACAAAGGGATCGCTTACGGACAGCCGTAAAGTAGCTAAGTGAAGTACTAAATATCCAGGGCGTCAATAGTAGGAGCAGGGAGTTGGGATTCAGGTGTGATTCAAACGTATTCCCGAGTATAATAATGTCATCCAGATAGCAGAAGCAGTGCGAGTCCATGTCTGGACCAAAGACGCCATCCATCAAGCGCTGGAAGGTCGCTGGGGCGGAGTGTAAGCCGAACGGTATTACTTTGAACTGAAATAATCCCCGAGACGTAACGGTAAAAGCGGTTATCGGTCAGCTATTTTTAGCGAGCGGCACCTGCCAGTCGAGGCTGGAGTGTATCGAGCGCGACGGAGTTTGTCATATGCATCTTGGTGACTCCGTTCGTTGACCTTTTTTATTTCAAATCCACACAGAACCGGTAACGGCCATCTTTCTTATGAACTATCACGATCGGGGAACTCCACGGGCTGTTCGACGTTTCAATAATACCCTTACGAAGCATTTCATCAACCTCGGAGTTGATAATCTCCTGCATACGTGGGTTTTGTGGACGGTACCGTTGTTTCACTGGTTCTGGGTCAGTTGAATGGATTTTGTGTTCAACGTGGAGTCGTTCTAGTGATATGTTCGAACAGCGGGAGTTCAATGTCTAAGAATTCCTTCAACTGGATTTTTTCGCTGGCAACCAGTGTTAAGGGCGGCGGGGAGTCTTTCGGAGTCTGTCTCGAATTCTAAGAGATTGACTTGATCTGGTTTGGCTGGTGTGGACACTTGTTCCTGGTTTAACGTAACAGACTGATCGCGTAAGTTGACGAAATCATGATTGGATAAAATGTCCATCACAACTACCAAATCTGCGGTTAAATCGAGCAAATGGCTGAACTGTGCTTCGAGGATGGCGGAGCCCATTTCCAAAGTCAAAACATAGCCGGTTTCAGTACACCACCAACAGCAAAAATAATATGTCTCTACGGCCTTTGTAAGTTTATTAGTGTCGTTTTCAAAAACTAAAACCGATACCGTTCCAGGCTCAAGAGTATTCGGCGGCGGAAATTATATTGAGAGAAAAATTAATAAATCACTAAAAAAAAAACTCCAAAAAAGAAAAATTCACAATCGGCGTGGGGTTTTCCAGATGTTTCAAAGGTCGGTGATCTAATTCCACCAATTTTTCCTCTTCTCCTCGTGGAGTACTGCCTCCCCATTTTAGTAGCATCGTCACGAAACGACGTCGGGTGGCGTGGTGGTACTTCCTGCGTAGAGGCAAGGCGGTTATTCAGTAGCGGCGATAGTATCTCTGATAGGATCCGAAAATCGATTCGGATGCGGGATGTCAGTGGCGGGTAGCGGAAGAAAAAAAAAAAAAAGTAACTTCGTTACACACCCCTTCTTCAACCCTTCACAATTTCATCAACCTTAGAGTTGATAATGTCCTGCATACGTGGGTTTTGTGGACTGTACCGTTGTTTGACTGGTTCTGGGTCATTTAAATGGATTTTGTGCTATACAAGTGGAGTCGTTCCAGTGATTTATTCGAACAGTGAAAGCCGGTTTCTGATTGATTGGCCGTTTGCTAATAGGGTCCTCCTTGGCATGTTCTCTGCCTTTTGGGAAGCGGTCCTTTTGCAGTATTGGGACAGTTTGTCGTCGATAAACGAGCTAGTGGCCCTTGTATCCAGCATAACTAGGAATATTTGCTGGTCAACGGTAATCGGAACATACGGTCGGTTTTCCACACGGTTTCGCAGACACTGGATTGGTGAGACGAGGGTGGAACCCGTAGCATTACGGCGCCGATCTAGTTTCCCGCGGTACAGCGGCAGTCTCTGGATAGCACCCCTTCAGTTCCACAACGAGAGCAGAACAGTTTATGTGGGTTCGTGCAGGTATCCCGAAGATGTCCGGTTTAGCTGCATCGCCAACACTTTACTCCTGTGGTATCCAGGGTGGTTTGTCGGGGTGCGGTGTTTACATTCGGTCCTCGGACTTAGGGGATAAGGCCAGCTGACTGGGTTGAACGGTTAACTTGAGGGGGTCGGTCTGTGGAAACAGGATTACGGAGGACCAAATTGCGCCGGGGTTCCTCAGGAGCGTTCAGCTCCTGGTGTAGTAATTTATATTCTCGCACCATCTTTGAGAAGGATTGAATATCCTGGAAGTCGAATCGGCGGATGTATTGTCGATATTCGGGAGACAAGTTGCGGCATAGCCACTGGAGTTTCTGGACTGGGGAAATTCTACCATGCCTCCTAATCATGGTCTGCATGTCGGTAACCTGTAGCAAACTGTCGGGGTTTACTTGTTGCGTAA